TCCGTCTCAAGGTGAGCAGCGGCGTAGCTTAAGGAGTCCCTGCCCGCCCGCTTCTCCAAGAACGCCGTGGCCTCTTGGACCAGGTCCCCGGCCTTCTTCTTCTTTTCCTCGTCCTTCACCTGCAAGAGCAGCGGGGCCAACGCCGAGACGGTCTTGGAAGCCAGGGCCGCGTCCCTCCTGGCAGCCTTGAGCCTAAGCTTCTCCGCAGCTTTCTTGTTTTTCCTGGTCTCTTTGCTCTCCGGGCCGCCTTCTTCCTCGTCGGAAGAGACCAGCTGCGGCGCTTCCTCCTGCGGTCCCCCCTTTGCCTTCTTGGCACGAAGGTTGACTGTGGTGCCCTCTTTCCTTTTGACTGCTTGCTTTTCTTCCACTTTTTCCGACAGCACCTCCATTTTGTAAACGACTCCGAGCTTCGGGTCATCCCTGCGGATGCCCGCGCTCTGAACAAGGGCCGGGTCCCAACCCTGCATCGTCAGCACGGAAAGCGGAAGGAACTCCCCTCCCAGACTGGAGCTGGAGGAGTTCTCAACCGACATCTCCAGCGCGAGCTGCACTTGGGTGCTGACCTTGTGCAGGCAGAGTTTGCCGTCCTCGCTCGTCATTTTGGAGACGCTGTTGTAAAACTCACACAGCTGGTTGCTGTTGAGCTGGCGGAAGTTGTCTGGCAAATCCAACCTACAAAGGAAAGTAGACAATTTATTACAATTGCCACACAAGTACCGGTTTGCACTCTTCTTGTAGAGCTCGTCCTGTGCAAACCGTTTCTGGCACTTGCTACAGTCCTTGTGCACAAGCACCAAGGTTTCCGGCGGAGGAGCTTCAGCGGCGCCAGTGCTCAGCGTCTGCGTCTCCTGACCACAGGACAGGGAGATGTTAGGCCGAGATATGTAGGAGGTTAGCACGCAGGGACGAGTCCTCGGTGCTGGGGTCTGCAAGGGCCATGCTTCTAGCAGGACCTCTACGGAGACAAGGGCGAGGCTACAAAAGGAGGGGCTTGCGGCACCTGATTTGAGCCCCGGGGGGACGTAGTGCGGCGTAGTGTGCGGTAGTGCCTTTGCCTGGGCCAGGGACTGGGGGAGTGTAGTGCCTGAGGCTCTCTAGGAACTGGAGCACACTACAACCGGGCCGGGGGCGTAGTGCGGCGTAGTGTGGTGTAGTGCCTGCGCTCCCTGGACCAGCCTGGTGCCCTGAGGCAGCATTTTTTTGCTAAGCGAAGGCAGCAGGGTGAGCAGCGTCTGCTGCAGGAACTTTGCCGGCTTCCTGCCGGCTGCATGCAGCTGTACTAGGAGGTGTCATTCAACTCGGACTGTCACCTGCTGCGTGTCAGGCTGCACATCCTATACGTGTTTTAAAGCCTGCTTTAAGGCAGACCGTTAAGGAGTCGGGCTCTGTGCAGCTCAGGACAGGAAGCCTATATATACATCAGCTTGGAATTAAAGATGCGTCCAGGGTCTCCCCTGAATTCCTTGTTGCTTCCTGGCAAGGAGGATGCATTTCATGCAAGCTAAAAAACACGGGTACTAAAAAACTACGTGCAGCGGTCTCGCTGTTCAGTGCTTCCTCGCTTTCTGCAGGAACTTCGCGCGGCCCTCGAGGAGGGACTGCTTCAAGTCGCGGAACTGAGGGAGCTGCTGCTTCAAGCCTTGCTTGTGCAGCTTGCCAATCCAGCGAGCATGGTCCCTGTTCATCTTCTCCTCCACGCAGACCAGGAGTCGTTTCTTGCCGCCAGTGACTGCCAGAAGGTAGCTCTTGGTGGCTGCATAGACCACCAAAATCCGATCCACCGGCAGAACATCGGGATCCTCTGGCTGCTTCGTCACCGTTGCCTGTCCGCGCGCAGCAGCAATCTCCTTCTTTTTGCCGCCCTCAGGGCAACCCGCCTGGACACCCTTCGGCTTGGCGGGCGCCGGCTTGGGCTTGGCTGCCGCAGGCCCCGTCTTCTCGCGGCAGCGGCGAGTCGGCGCAACGTTCAGATCCGTGCTCTCGGTGGGCTTCGTCGCAGAAGCTGCAGCCTCCTTGCCACACTTCAGCTGCTTGCGTGCCTTCTTCATGTCTTCTACGCACTCTAACAAACTTCGCTTCTTGGCAATGGAATTCGCCTGCGGCTTCTCGGAAGCGTCCACGTCGGCACTGTCTGCCTCCGGCCGCACCTGTAGCTGCCTCTGCACAGCAGCAGCAGCCGGCGGCTGCACGACGGGCTGCGCCTCTGGCTGCACCTCTTCTTGGCTTTCCGCAGCAGCAGGAGCCGACGGCAGTAGCAGGGGCTCCGCAACACGAACCTCCTCGAGTACGGCTTTGAAGGGCCCAGCCTCTGGCCTCTGCAGCTGGGTCTGCTCTGTCGCGGTCGGCA